AAACTAGAAGGAAATTTCCCAAAGGGATGGGTATCTCAGTTCTCACTGGAATAGATGTCCCCATTGGAAGGTTTATCATTACCTCCTGTTCTGGTAACAACTGTTAAAGTTTGATTCCAGGGTACTAATGTTCAACATCAAGGTTGTCTCTTAAAACTAGACTGTTGGCATTAATTTAAAGTATATGGGTCATAGGGGCTGCCGCCAGGGGCAGACTGACCATTTAGAAACTCGGGCACCGCCCGAGGGCCCAGGGTCAGTAGGGGGCCCCATGAGATGCCCCTGGTACCTTTTTCATAGGCTTTTTTGAGTTTGGGCAAGGACACAGGGGCCCCATGATCCCCTATTGCCCGGGGGCCCCATGAGTTGTCAGTCTGCCCCTGGCTACCACTACTAAGAAGAACAGCTGCCTGGCTTGGTCTGATTCAATACAGCATGTGACAAACGAAAGTCAGAGAAAAGTCAGAAGAATTCCAAGTCCGTGATTTAAAGTCTGGGACTTGCACCCCAATCAACTCCCACCCCCTGAAGGACCCCCATATCTATTTTTATTTTTTTCTACAAGTCTTTGGGATGGTTATGTGTCAAGTGTGAGTCCTCTTTCTAGCTGGATATTCTCTAGCATTAGGTGATAGACATGTGCAATTTGTTTCTTTAACGAACATTTCGTACAAATTTTGATTTGTATTCAGAGATTCGGATGTAATTAAATCTCCATATCATAATAGTAAAAAAGTTTCAATGCATTTACTTTCCATGATAATGGTGAACAGGACAAATAGAGAAGGTGAATCTCCCTAACAGGGGCAGAGACCACAATAAAAACCTAATATTGTATCTGAAACTAAAACCTGACTTTTTCCTATAATAGTAGTAGGATTGTACACTATAGTAGCAGTAAAAGCATTGTGCATTTCGGGTTTTGTAGTAGCAGCATCCCTGCACTGTACACTAGTAGTAACATTGTCCACTATAGTAGTAGTAGCAGATTCCTTTTGTACAAGTGTATAGTAGTACTGGTAGTAGTATTGTAAAGTATTGTATTAGTATAGTAGCAGCAGCAGAAAACATTGTACATGGTAGTAGAAGTATCATTGTACACAGTAGTAGTAGTAGGCTTATCACTGTAGTGCCCCCACTATAGTAGTAGGCATAGTAGTAGTGTACACCACAGCAGCAGCATTGTACACTATAGTAGTAGTAGAAGCATCATTGTACACTTATGTGTGTGTGTTTTTCACGGATGGAGGGTGTGGGTTCGGGCCTACCCTATAGTAGTAGTAGTAGTAGTATTGTACACCACAGAAGCCGCATTGTACACTATAGTAGTAGTAGTATTGTACGGTTCCTTCCTCCCCCACAGCAGTCCCCGCATTGCACACTATAGTAGTAGAAGAAGCATCATTGTGCACGTATAGTAGTAGTAGTATTGTACACCACAGCAGCCGCATTGAACACACTATAGTAGTAGTAGTAGTAGTATTGTACACCACAGCAGCCGCATTGTACACTATAGTAGTAGTATTGTACACCACAGCAGCCGCATTGTACACTATATAGCAGTAGTAGTATAGTGTACACCACAGCAGCCGCATTGTACACTATAGTAGTATTGTACACCACAGCAGCCGCATTGTACACTATAGTAGTAGTAGAAGAAGCATTGTACACTATAGTAGTAGTATAGAAGCATACACCACAGCAGCCGCATTGTACAGTAGTAGTAGTATTGTACACCATAGCAGCCGCATCGTACACTATAGTAGTAGTAGTATTGTACAACACAGCAGCCGCATTGTACACTATAGCAGTACACTATAGTAGTAGTATTGTACACCACAGCAGCCGCATTGTACACTATAGTAGTATTGTACACCACAGCAGCTGCATTGTACACTATAGCAGTAGTAGTATTGTACACCACTGCAGCCGCAATGTAAACTATAGTAGTATTGCACACCACAGCAGCCGCATTGTACACTATAGCAGTAGTAGTATTGTACACCACAGCAGCTGCATTGTACACTATAGCAGTAGTAGTAGTATTGTACACCACTGCAGCCGCAATGTAAACATTGTAAACTATAGTAGTATTGCACACCACAGCAGCCGCATTGTACACTATAGTAGTAGTAACATTTTTGGAAGATCAGTAATGGCTGTTCCCATGAAGATTAGTCATGTGTGGCTGCAGAGGGTTATAGAGGGGGATAAATATACCAACAATCCTCTTTATGTGAGATTGTTTTGTTTTACCAGTTCTATTATATGGCAGAGAAGAGATTATTTATTAGGGAGTTTCTGTGCAATTGTGGAGATGGGTCACTGAGGACCTATTCACAACCACCGCGTCGCAGTTAAGACAGGTCCATAATTTAAATGGGTTGCCTAGAGACTGAAAATCAGACTTGCACAATTTTTTCAGCAACACAGTATATCACAATGCACGGAAGTTGTCGCAATGCATTACCATGCATAGGGGGGGTGCTCTGGTTTAGCACATTGGTGTGGCATTCAAAATTACTGACACAAAATTCAGCTGTCATATTTCACACTTCTCTTATGAACATAAATATTAATACCTTAAAAATTATAAACATATTTTTGAAGCTTATTAAAAAAAAGTTTTTTTTATATATATATATATATATATATATATATATATATATATATATAGTGAACCTGCCATTAAGGTCTTTGTTCAGTCACCTGCTGTAGGGTGACAACGCTCTGTCCTTGTGCGCTGTCATCACTCTGCAGTCAAGACTGTATGGGACTATGCTGTAGTTCATCACAGGTTTTATCTGTCATGATTAGGAAGTCTGACCAGAATCTGCAGACGCTGTAGTCTCCAAGTCTTTATTATGGGGGCCACCTTATTTATTTTACAAATATTTATGGGCAAAAAAAAAAAAAATCACTATCCAAGCCGACACTTACACCAGGGTCCCCATCAGAGGTTTTCATATCAAAGCCCCCCCTTACATCTTGGTCCCTATCAGAGCCCCCCCCTACAACTCAGTCCCCAGCAGGTCCCCACCCCTACATCTGGGTCCCCAGCAGGGCCCCACCCCTACATCTGGGTCCCCAGCAGGGCCCCACCCCTACATCTGGGTCCCCAGCAGAGTCCCCCATATCAGGGTCCCCAGCAGATCCCCGTCTTTTATTAGGGTCCCCAGCAAAGCCCTCCTTACATCAAGGTCCCCAGTAAAGCCCCCTCTTACATCAGGGTCCCCATATATCATGGTCCCCATCAGAGCCCCCCTTACATCTGGATCCCCAACAGAGCCCCCTACATCAGGGTCCCCAACAGAGCCCCCCTACATCAGGGTCCCCATACATCATGGTCCCTAGCAGAGGATCCTTTAAATCAGGGTCCCCAGAAAAGTCCCCTCTTACATCAGGCTCTCCATCAGGGGCTGTCATATCAGGGTCCCCACAGCAGAGCCCCCTCTTACATCTGGGTCCCCAACAGAGCCCCCCTTACATCTGGGTCCCATCAGAGCCCCCTTTACATCTGAGTCACCATTCATCATGGTCCCCAGAAAAGTCCCCTCTTACATCAGGCTGTCATATCAGAGTCCCCTCTTACATCAGGGACCCCAGCAGAGTCCCCTCTTACATCAGGACCCCAGCAGAGTCCCCTCTTACATCAAGGACCCCAGCAGAGTCCCCTCTTACATCAGGGACCCCAGCAGAGTCCCCTCTTACATAGGTGGGAAGCAGAGACCATAGGCAACCTCTGCTACCCTAAATCCTCAGTCAGTTGATGTTAAGGATGTGCCACTGACCCCTCTAGCTGGGGGCCGGATAAAATCTTGTAGCTGGTCAGATGTGGCTCACAGGCTATAGTTTGGAGACTCCTGCTGTAGATGTATAACTAGATTACATTTGCAAAAGCACTGCGCATTAAACAATTGTATTCCCATCTCCCCCCCAATCTAAAAATTCCCAACCTTTGCTGCATCTCTGTGCTGATCTCCTGCAGCTTCTTTGCAGCCACTTCTTATCTACATATATGTGCTGCTCAGCACTGAGATACAACAAAGGACAAAAAGAAGAAAAAGTGATATTTGCTAATGGAACAAAAATATCAATGATTTATTCTACACAGTGCTTTAGCAAATGAAATGTAAGGCTGTACACCTATCTTAATCACACTAACATTTGGAGAGCTCTCTTATATAGTCCGATTTACATCCTTAAATATTAAAAAACACTCAGAAATTATGAGAAGCAATGGACTGTGAAAACAACAATAGACAAAAAACAAAAGCCAAGAAACAAGGGACAATAGGCACTAGAGAAAAAAAAAACAAAACAAACAAAAAGAAAAAAAAAAAAACACACACAAAAGAGTGAATCCATTTCCTGATCACAACTGGTGGCTTTAGATGTGAATTACATAAAACAACTGTACAATGAACCACTCAGCCCCCATTCACACCTGAGCATTTCTGAAAGTGCAACATGAAAAATCTCATTATATTCAATAGTGCTCATTCACACCTGATTTTTTCTCCCACAACACGCTCAACATAAAGAATTCCTGTATTCTCAATGGTGCCATTCACATCTGAGCACTTCGTCACTTTTACAAAAAAGGACATACTTTTTTTTTTTTTTTTTTTTGGGGGGGGGGGGGGGGGGGGGGGGGGGGGGGGGGGGTTTGAATGAATTGTATTTTTTTGACCCCCATGTACACACCTAAAAACACTCAACCAATTGTTCTACAATATACCAGGGAAATGCTGACCTAGGATATCCCAGAAGATCCTGCTTTCCATTGGCCAAATCAGTAATGCTGATGCTTAAAAAAGCATGCAATACGCTTCAAAAATGCACAAAAACACGTCAAAATTGCCAAAATATGCACACGTGTGATTAGGGGAAAAAAAAAAAAAAAAAAAGTATATACACAATACATCAACAATATTAGTCAAAATCAAAAAGGAAAAAAAAAAAAAAAAAAATCAACCCATGTTTGGGTATTGACTTACCGGATGCAATGCCTTCATCCCATTCGGATTCCGACCTTTTCAAGCGATTTGCCGTAAATCCAAAGCAAACTTGTATTCCAAATAGAAAGGTGATACAATAGGTTACCTGTAGAAGAAAGAAAACGGGTCACTTTAGAGAACTAAAACACAGGTCCCCCTCTCACCCTAGGTTCACATCTATGCAAGTTGCGTTTGAGGCGTTGCTGCATTGCATTACGTTTTTGATGCGTTTTGCTTTTTTTTTTTCCGTCTTTTTTTTTTTTCTTGTTGCTAAGCAGATTTTAAACACAAAATGCATTACAATCGAGGCAAAAACGCAATACATGCTTTTCTGCAGCATTCCCATTGAAGTCTATAGAACCAAAAATGCAACGTTTTGTGTTCAAAAAAGTTCCTGACCCTTTCCAAAAAAAAAAAAAAAAAAAAAAAAAAACGCACAGGTGTGAACATGTCCCGTCAGAAATTGTTAAATGGACTGTATTACATTTGCAGAAAATGCTTAGGTGTGAACCTAGGGTGAGTCAATGAAAAAAATATAAAAAAAAAAAAAAAAAATATTAAAACAAAAAAAGATAAAATAAAAATATTGAAGAAGTGCGCTATTGAAATCAAATTGACGCCGTGTTCCAAAAAGGTGCCAGCCCCTGTTCCTACCTGATATAAGTGCAGGACGCTGTGCAGAATCATAGTGCAGAGGCTCCACCGCACCCCTAGCTGGGCAGCCGCCTGTTCCCTGGCTCTCAGATCTTCTGCTGGGAGTGCTGTGGGAGCCGAGTCTATTAGCTCCAAGTAATCCCACCTGGAGAAGTTGACACGCTCATTTCATTTGTCCAGAGGACGGTTTCATCATGTTTCACTCACAAATCCCAGCCCTGAGTGCAGGAGGAGGCTACAGAATCAGCAGCACCACCACCGCACTCCCCCCTCTGAACACACACACTTCTCTCACACTTAGCCAATAACCCTTTACTTTTAACATGCTCCAGCACAGACTGTCAATGTGCTTTGTAGGGGCAAGCTGTGAGGGGGGGGGGGGGGGTCATTTCACCGCCAGCTATAAAAACATGTGCGTAATATAAAATAGGGGAACGTGAATTCATCTGCTGGATGTAGAAGAAGGATAAAACACAGCGATAGTATATACAGCGTATAATACAGAAAGGGAGCATTCGGATGCGTGGCAGCTCTTTCTGCCTCTCTGCAGTCATTAACAGGCGTCCTCACCTCATTTACACTTGCGGTTGGGAGGTGGTAAAAACATGTGGCTCAGCCCAGGGGCGGACTGACCATTTGGAAACTCGGGCACTGCCCGAGGGCCCAGGGTCAGTAGGGGCCCCCATGAGATGCCCCTGGTACCTTTTTCACAGGCTTTTTTGAGGGCAAAGACACAGGGGGCCCTATTGATCCCCTATTGCCCAGGGGCCCCATGAGTTGTCAGTCCGCCCCTGGCTGAACCGTGGTTTTAATGCACACTCCCCCCCCCCCCCCCAATCAATCTCCCTTATTTATTTATTTCAGGTACTTGTATAGCACCGTCAATTTGCGCAGCACTTTGCATAGATATCTGTCTTTCCTGGGTGTATGAACATCATACATCAGTCTAGAGTACATAGACCAGAACCCACTTTATTTATTATTTATTTATTTTTTATTTCAGGTACTTATATAGTGCCGTCAGTTTACACAGCGCTTTACATATATATTGTACATTCACATCAGTCCCTAACCCTCAAGGGGCGTACAATCTAAGGTCCCTAACTTACATTCATACATGCACATACTAGGGACAATTTTGACAGGATCCAATTAATCTACCAGCATGTCTTTTGAGTGTGCGAGGAAACTGGAGTACCCGGAGGAAACCCACGCAGGCACAGGGAGAACATGCAAACTCCAGGCAGGTGGTGTCGTGGTTTGGATTTGAACCGACAATCCGAATGCTGCCAGGCAGAAGTGCTAAGCCACTGTGCTGCCCACCTTTAAGCAGAACGGTACCCAAAAGGGTAAGTTTCACTTTTCTTCCTCTTCCCCTGCGATTTTTGGAATTTTTTTTTGGGGGGGGGGGGGGGATGAAAGTTTGGCCCCTCCCCTCTCTCTTTCTGCAGCCTCTCGGGACACATCAGTACCCCTTGCTGAGTGCAATGCATTCAACTAATATGGGCCACTTTGCACTGCAGTTGCACCATGGGTTTTTAAGGGTTAAAACAAGTGGTGAGTGAAGAGGTCACATAATGCCTCCTCACAACCTGTCAAACATCCTCTGAAGAGTGATCTACCACATGTGTAAACTATCCCCACAAAATGGCTGAACCACCATGAGGTTGCAGTGCAGCTCCAAACACTAATGGCTTATTTAGATGGCAGAGGGGGGGGATAAAACCAGGCCATTGAGATGCATGTTTACTGCCCCCTTAACCTGAACCACTTGCCTACAGGGCACTTTCACCCCCTTCCTGCCCAGGCCAATTTTCAGCTTTCAGCGCTGTCGCATTTTGAATGACAATTGTGCGGTCATGCAACACTGTACCCAAACAAAATTGTTATCATTTTTTTTAGACAAATAGAGTTTTCTTTTGGTGGTATTTAATCACCTCTGAGGGGTTTATATTTTGCTAAACGAACAAAAAAAAAGACCAACAATTTTGAAAATAAAAGGTTTTGTATATAAGTGATTTTTCTCTTTCACTGATGTGTGCTGATGAGGCAGCACTGATGTGGAAGCACTGATGAAGCTGCTCGGATGGGCACTGATGAAGCTGCACCAATATGCAGCACTGATGGGTATGGATAAGCGGCACTGACAGCCAGCACTGATTGCCACTGACAGACAGCATTGATGGGTACTAATAGTAGCACTGATGGGTACTAATAGTCAGCACTGATGGGTACTGACAGCCAGCACTGAGGAGACACTGATAGCTAGCATTGATGGGTACTAATAGTCAGCATTGATGGGTACTAATAGTCAGCATTGATGGGTACTAATAGTCAGCAGTGATGGGTACTGACAGCCGGCACTGATAGCCAGCACTGAGGAGACACTGATAGCCAGCATTGATTGGTACTAATAGTCAGCATTGATGGGTACTGACAGCCGACACTGATAGCCAGCATCGATGGGTACTGATAGCCAGCACTGAGGAGACACTGATAGCCAGCATTGATGGGTACTAATAGTCAGCACTGATGGGTACTGACAGCCGACACTGATAGCCAGCATTGATGGGTACTGATAGGCGGCACTGATGGGTACTGACAGCCAGCACTGATAGCCAGCATTGATGGGTACTGACAGCCAGCACTGATAGCCAGCATTGATGGGTACTGACAGCTGGCACTGATAGCCAGCATTGATGGGTACTGACAGCTGGCACTGATAGCCAGCATTGATGGGTACTGACAGCTGGCACTGATAGCCAGCATTGATGGGTACTGACAGGGCACTGCACTGATAGCCAGCATTGATGGGTACTGATAGGTATGGGTACAGCCAGCACTGATAGCCAGCATTGATGGGTACTGACAGCTGGCACTGATAGCCAGCATTGATGGGTACTGACAGCCGGCACTGATAGCCAGCATTGATGGGTACTGATAGCCGGCACTGATGATCAGTGTAGATATCCCTTCTGAGAAATGTCACTTACCATCTCTCCTCTCACACTGCTGATAACTGGCATTTCCTATTTACACCGTGATCAGTTGTGATTGGACACAGCCGATCACATGGTGAAATGCGGCTCTGATTGGCCCTCTACCTGGACACGTGATCATCTGTGTCCAAAGGACACAGGGATCAGAGCTCATGCACGTAGCACGCAGGGAATGTGGTTCTGGCAGGACATCCATGGACACCCTCCAAGAACTGGCCGTCATATGACTATAGCGTGGTCAAGAAGTAGTTAAAATGCATAGACAGCAGACAGGGAAGTGGGGAAAATCCCTGTCACCAGCGCCAGCACCCGACAGCCGATTGAAGAATCGGCTCGAGGTGAGGACACCGCTGGATGCCTGGACAGGTAAGAGCTCTAATATTACAAGTCAGCAGCTACAGTATTTGTAGCTGCTGAGCAGGGGCAGACTGACCATTTGGAAACTCGGGCACTGCCCAAAGGCCCCGGGGTCAGTAGAGGGCCCCATGAGATGCCCCTGGTACCTTTTTCATAGGCTTTTTTGAGTTTGGGCAAGGACACAGGGGCCCCATGAGTTGTCAGTCTGCCCCTGCTGCTGACTTTTCTTTTTTTGGGGGGGGGAGGTGACGACGGCCAGAACTCTACTTTAAGCTTGGTTCAAATCTGTGCGGGTGGTGCCGCTGCGGGACCTGCACAAATACGTGCAGCCGTACCACCCACACATAGGAATGCGGGACCCACGGACGGGTGCCATTAATTCTAATGCATAGGAAATCACACCCATACTGGAAACCTCGGTTCCTGTGTGGGCTGCAATTTCCGAAGAAGTGCAGGGAACAGGAGTGCATTCAAATGAATGGGCTCTCCTGCCCGCGCAAATCGCAGCCCGCACGACCGCACATGTGTGAACCTGGCCTTACCGATGTATTAATGAATACAGATTTGCATAAACTTGTGTCCTTTTACATCTGTTTAGAGATCAGCTTAAAATCAGTTCTCCGTTCCAGTTGTAAGATACAAGGATGTTCTTGGTGAGGGCTCTATATAGGCTCTGCGTCGTATGATTCATCACTCTAGCTGAAGACAATGGGACAGGTAGCTACACACAATGTGTTGGAATTCAGATGAAATCTACGGATAAGCATACTCAGCCTGAACGTAAGTGACAGAGGGAATCTCCTAGCTCCAGGGCTCTAGAAGTTAAGTGGTATGTTGTGGACAAGCATAGACAGCTGAGGTCCAGGTAAGCACCTCGGGCCTTTCAGCTAGGTTTTGGGAGTTGTAGAGTCATTAGTGTCCGTATTGCTTCCTTCATAGCATGGGTGGTCACTTGAGGAAAAATGAGGAAAAATGATGAGTATCGAGGAATGAGCTGGATACGTCTTGAGCTGGCTAGTAGATTTTCAAACAAGTGTTTCTACGAAAATTCTCAGTACATTCAATAACTTGACAAATGTCATTTGAAAGTACTTACATTTTTTTTTTAATTTTGTTTAATTTTGAAGTGAAGGGACATTCCCAAATTCGCTGTTAGAATCTCATGCATTCGAGGAAAAAAATTCCATCCTGCTCATTTTTTCTCATCGCTGCAGTCGAATATAAATAAATGTTGTTTGGAGCCCAATAAAGATGAGAAAATTGGATGAATGTTCTAAAAATGAAAAATGTAAAATGAAGTTCTGTGAGTGTAGGCCAGTTTTAGGAGCCAGGTATAATTACAACCGGAGTCCAACTTTTTCCATTTATCCTGTAATGTCCATACACATTAGGCTTTGTCTGATGGAAGCTCACAGGTTTGTGTCCATACTCCAATCATATGGCCCATGCACACGATAAGAAAATTGTATGAAAATTTCCATATGAGGAATGATCAGCCGATTATTTGCCGAGGGTGCAAGCTAGAAAACTTTTGTTGTACATGAACACAACGTCCGATTTTTGTTTAATGTGCACAGTTATCGTACGGAAATAATCGAATAGAAAAAAACGCGAAAAATCAGAGGCATAGAACGACCCTA